AAAGGGAAAAAATTTCCTAAGTTTCAAGGGGGGAAAATAAATCTGAAAAATATTGGTGCTAAGAGATTTATGAACCTTGTCACATAAGATCTGGTTGATGATAGGGAACATATATTTGAAGTTTGAAGTTGATACCTAAAGAAATGACAAAGTTATAGTGAAAAATATTTTACTGCACCAAAATTTTAATCTGAAATCTGGACGCGGACGCCGGCGCCGGGGTGAGTAGGACAGCTCTCCATAATTATACTTCGTATAGTCGAGCTAAAAAGGGGGTTGCTCTGTACTGTATTCACTTATTATTCATATGTAAGGTGCTACTATGGTTAAAATTATACTTCTGTCCATCATGTAAGTAAAAAGAATGGAAACCAACAGTAAATTTTACTTTATCATATTCTTTATTTACAAATATAAATGTCTTAAAAAAACAACCATGTCAAAATTTAAAAAAAACTTCCCAATGCAAAAATAAATCATCATCAAATTTACAAATCATTTATATTTCTATTAATGTTTGCAAGTTAATAAGCTAATCAGCCCACAATGATTTAATTGTCTGCTGAATAATGTCGTCTGCTGACAAGGTAGGATTCTGTGACGTCAGCCATTGATAATGTTTTAGATTGAATGATCTGCCACTCATCTTGTCTATGGAGAAACCCGCCCATTTCTGTAAGCCAGAAAAACTAAGAACAAACAACTGTACAGGTAAAACAGGGGTCCTAAAAATAAAATCCCACTACAAACAGATTATTTCATGACAGAATTAATGGTAAATAGAACACTTAAGTACAAAAGTGATAATTACATTCTATGTTTACCTGTTTTTAATAGCATGGAGCTTAAAATGTTGCAAAGCTTTTGCCCGGAAGTTTTTGAACATTCTTTATACACGATGTTTTTAAACAAAATCATAATTTACAAAACAAAATGTCATTTTGGGAGTTGGCTTGTAAAACACTGTACTTGAAGGTTCAAACAATTTAAGGTTTTTTTGTTTGTTGCTAGCTTGACTGGTGAAGTAGCCTCTTTGCATATTAAATCTGGATACATTTCATAATTCAGCATTCCTACATATAAGTTTTCATATCTTAACACCAATTAAACCTACAACCTTGACTGACAAGTGACTCAAAGAAAGGCACATTGATCATTAAGCTTATACAGCAAAAATGTCATAAGCAAAAAAGCCTGTATGCACTTACATTTGAACCTGTGAGTTCTTCAAGTTTTTTCTTCAGTGACACAAAAGGGTGTTAAGTAGTTTTCTCAGATGAAATCCATTGTCCGTCTAATTGTTGTAATGAGATCACTGTCAACATATCATCATCTGAAAATTGTACATGTAAAGAAGTTGTCCTGTAAATTTTTTTTTCTGTCATTAAAATTTTCATTTACATCACAAACTAAAGAGTTATATTTTGTATGCTATTTTTCATAAAAGAAATACAGTGATTGAATTTTATTTAGTAAAAGTCAAGTGCATTCTAATGATCTACATCCTAAACAAGAATCCTCTTCATCTTGTTTGCAATTGGCCAAAAGGTTAAACCAATCAATGTTTGTTTTTAAAACCAATTTTTATTTCATACTGACTTTATAAAATTTCATTGAACAATTTAGTATTTACATATAAAATATCAAACTTCTTAGACCTTACATTAATTTATACTATTTTATTCAGATAATTCACACATGTCGTCTATACTAAAGTAATTACAAACCTGATGGGAGATTTCTAGTTTGATTATCAGAAATGTCCATCTTTAACATACTGCTTGATATTTGTGCATAGTCTTCATCTGATGCTGCCCCAGCTTGTTCTGAAACACAAAAATTGTTATTTGCTTTTATTGTTTCAGCTTAAAAAAAAACAAAAAACAGACACAGTGCTATTTAATAACTGATTTGAGCCGCGTCACGACAAAACCAACATAATGGGTTTGCGACCAGCATGGATCCAGACCAGCCTACGCATCCACGCAGTCTGATCAGGATCCATGCTGTTCGCTATCAGTATCTCTACTTGTTATAGGGTTTGTAAGCAAACAGCATGGATCCTGATCAGACTGCGGGGATGCGCAAGCTGGTCTGGATCCATGCTGGTCGCAAACCCATTATGTTGGTTTTGTTGTGACGCGGCTCATTTATTTCGGAGCTTATCACTTTTTGTTGGACCAGCAGGAGACGACTAATCTCATTATCTTAAAATTACCAGGTTATAACAAGTTACCTCTGTGTATCTGATCAACAAATAACTGCTATCTTAACACTATATTCGTTAAGTCAATGACTCTAAGACTTGATTTATATACAACTTTATTTGTCATGCTATTAAACCAACTTTTAACAAATGTGTGTATTAAAGCCATTTTTTCTGAGCATTTGTGATCCACTTACACCAGTCATATGCACTATTTAAAGGGACTTCAATGAGGTTTTTTTGACATGACGAAACTGGAAATAATTTTTCGAGATTAATGCTCAGTTTAATGTAGGTCTAGATCAGTAACTTGTGTGCAAAATTTTAGATCATTCACTCTTGCGGTTTATCCAGAATAATTATTCAAATTGTGAAAAATGACCCAAAATGGAAAAGCGTTTAAACGCTTTTAACTCAAATCGCATCAAAAATAGCACAAAAATACGCTTTTCTGTTCATTTTTTAGTATATTTCTGAATTATTTTATACATGTCTTCCTGTATTACGTGCCCCAGCTGATCTGTGTAAAAAAATAAATTATATGATTTTAGCTTTTTGAACCTCAGTGGAGTTCCTTTAAAATCTACTTATATCACAAGGGTAGTGGTGCCCTTGTGGTAAAGGTGTCTGCCACTTAACCCAGGGATCATGAGTTTGTATCCTACTCCTGTCACTACCGTGTTTTCCTAATATGACATCAGTTTTAGTTAGTTCCAGGTAGTCACAAAAGTGATAAATATAAGTAGCAAGACCTTTTTCTACTATCAATCGTTAATAAACAAACTAAGGTTATCAAGTAAACAAGAGATCACCAAAATTTTTATAACTTCAAAAGTAACATAAAATACACCAGTTATGATGTTATGATTGATTTGATTCTACTTCTTACCATGTCTTTTAGGACGAACATTGTCTTTCCTTTGCCTTCTGTTTGAAAATAACTGTGAAAATTTAGGCAGTTTAATTTTACAGCATGACAACTTTGCCCTTCTCCGGGAATGGCGGCAAAACCGAGAGTCAGAGCCATCTTTAACCCACTTTTCCTCATCTTCATCTAACATTCGCTGATGCTTTTTTGTCAATTTCTATATTAAAATATAAAGTACATGTAAAAATATAAAACATATTTTGTTTCTTCTTTTTGTAGTAGGGTCTTAAGATTCCTTTCTTTATAAAGCTAAATTGAGATCTCTTTGTAGTTAGAAAAAGACCACATGTGCATATATGATCTTTGAAGAATATCAAATAAGTTTTCAGCCACATAGAACATACATGACTGGTAGTTCAAAATACATGTGTATTACATTATAAAATATGTTACTTTAGCAAGGAATGTAACTATAATTTATTTCAATTACATGTAATTCCAATGTATTCCTCCATGCAACATGAATCTACAAAAGGTATTTACAGAGATTCAACTATACCAAAAAGAGAAATGAAGAGTATTGTCACTATATTATTCCTTTATCAAATAGGTACACTATAGCCTTCAATAAAAATGTGTGGTCAGTAGGACTGTGTACCAGGCTATTCTCAGTGCTTGATAGTAAAACCAAAAGTTCAATAAGGACCGATAATTCTGTCAAAATCCATGTTAGAGATATGCTCATTGGATAGTAACATCCTATTTTGCTCTCAAGAAAGTATGTGGGGTTTCAACCCATTACCTTTAGAAGTTTTGGAAATACCTACTTAGCTCTCCTTATTCTTCAAATATTCCAGCTAATTACAGATATAATTTTCCAATTACAAATATATGTCACAAAAAGCCAATATCATTTTTTGTGATAAATGATGAAAACAATGTAAGAAATCTTACCATACGCTGTACACAGGTTTTTCTTATTGCTGCCGAGTACAGGCTTTGGTCTGTAACTCCTGTATGAAAAGTAAAGATCATTTTCAAACAAAATGAAAATGTCTTAAATAGGGCATAACTTTTGAAAACATATTTCCAGGGTTATCTGCCTTTATGATAGGATATCACATTTTAATAATGAGCAAACATACCAATTTAGAAGTGAATAGCTAGTGAATACATGTAGCTTTGATAGTTTTCTGAAAAACAGACCTTAACAAAATGAAAATGTTATACCAATGCCAACATAAACTTCGAAGTAAACAAATGGGTCATGGCAATAGCTTTAACTTTTTTGTTTTGCAAAATTGAATTTGCAGAACAAGACATAACAACTGAATTTACATATGCTCAACAAAACAGAAATATAACATAATAAAGTTTTACAAAAGAGGTCTACAATAATATTATAACAAGGTAAAGTTTCACAGAAGAGGAATTTACACACCTTCCTTCATTAATTTAGCATCATACATGCCATCCCTATATTCTACAGTGTTCATTGGTACTGGGCACTTCCTTGTCTTCTTGTCACCAATCACCTTTTTACCTTTGGTATCTATGGCAACAAAGGCTGTATACCTTGACACAACATTGCCTAGACAACTTAAACTGACTATCCTCACACAAAGTTCTTCCACTTGATTTGGATTCAAAATTAAAACATCTAAAAATAAATATTCTACAAAGATTAAACACATGTCAATGCTATGAGAAATAACATGTTTTTATATTTGTTTAGTTTTAGGTCATACCTAAACTAGTAAGGTAAAGAAATGACTTTATATTCTAGGAAGAGGAGAAGAGGAGAAATACCATAGGTTCCCTATCTAGCACTAATACATTATCATAAAGCTTCAATAACGTAAAAGTTTCATAAACAAGAGGGCCATGATGGCCCTGAGGTCGCTCACCTGTATATAGGCTCCCCCCTCCCCCGCCCAGCAGGGCCAAATTAAACCCAAGGGCTTTTAGTAGAAACCCATAAGAAGATGTTTCATGCTAAACATCTAAGCTCTAGCTCATTGGGTTTTTTAAAAGAAGATTTTATTAAGTTTTTACTATACACACATAGTTATAAACAATGACACCCCTGGGGCGGGGCCAGTTTTGACACCAGGGCTTTTATTTGAACAACGTTTGTAGACACTTACTAGAAGATGTTTCATGCTAAACATCTAAACTCTAGCTATTTGGGTTGTTTCAAAGAAGGTTTTTAAGTTTTTGCTATACACATATTAGGAAAATCAATGACCCCCGGGGCAGGGCCAATTTTGACCAAAGGGCTTTTATTTGAACAAACTTTGTAGACACTCACTAGAAAATGTTTCATGCTTAATATCTAAACTCTAGCTATTTGGGTTTTTTCAAAGAAGGTTTTTAAGTTTTTGCTAAACACATATTAGGAAAATCAATGACCCCCGGGGATGGGCCAATTTTGACCAAAGGGCTTTTATTTGAACAAACTTTGTAGACACTCACTAGAAGATGTTTCATGCTTTATATCTAAACTCTAGCTATTTGGGTTTTTTCAAAGAAGATTTTTTAAGTTTTTGCTATACACATATAAGGAAAATCAATGACCCCTGGGGCAGGGCCAATTTTGACCCCAGGGCTTTTATTTGAACAAACTTGGTAGGCATCCATTAGAACATGTTTCATGCTAAATATCTTAGCTCTAACTCTTTGAGTTCTTTAAAAGAAGATTTTTTAAGTTTTTACTATATGCATATAGGGAAAATCAATGACCCCCTGGGGCCGGGCCAATTTTGACCCCAGGGCTTTTATTTGAACAAACTTGGTAGACACTCACTAGAAGATGTTTCATGCTAAATATCTTAGCTCTAGCTCTTTGGGTTCTTTAAAAGAAGATTTTTTAAGTTTTTACTATATGCATTTGGGAAAGTCAATGACCCCCTGGGGCGGGGCCAATTTTGACCCTGGGGCTTTTATTTGAACAAACTTGGTAGACACTCACTAGAAGATGTTTCATGTATAATATCTTAGCTCTAGCTCTTTGGGTTCTTTAAAAGAAGATTTTTTTAATTTATACTATATGCATATAGGGAAAATCAATGACTCCCTGGGGCGGGGCCAATTTTGACCCCAGGGCTTTTATTTGAACAAACTTGGTAGACACTCATTAGAAGATATTTCATGCCAAATATCTGAGCTCTAGCTCTTAGGGTTTTTTAGAAGAAGATATTTAAAGTTTTTTCTTTCGGTTGCCATGGCAACCAGAGTTCTGCATGGAATTAAATTCTTTGAACAATTTTTAAAGGTGACCACCAAAGGAACATTCCTGTGAAGTTTGGATGAAATTGGCTTAGTGGTTTATGAGGAGATGTCATTTAAAGTAAAAGTTTACGGACGGACGGACGCCGGACGGACGCCGGACGAAAAGCGATCACAAAAGCTCACCCTGTCACTTTGTGACAGGTGAGCTAAAAACAGATTTCATCATCATTATGGAGATATGAAGCCTGAAAAATAAGAAGGCTCCCACATAAATTATTAAATAGTTATAAATTCACCTCCAACAACAATATCTAAATTTGAAGTATTTTTAACATATTCACATATTTGACAATTCAATTAAAGCTCATCATAAATTAAAAATCTCGCCTGCATTAACTGTATCCTGCAGAAGTTTGATTTGAGCTTTTGTTGCTAGCCGATGAATAGGTGCAGATGTGCTTAATTCATTTGTATTTTGCAAGGTGAAGGTCATTTTATACGAGACTGGATTTCCACTTTGTTGACCATTCAATGTTACTGACCCAGATGCATTGTTGTGCTGACAAAATAAATATAAGTAATAAATGAATAAAAACTACTTATTCAGCAGTTCTACTGTATATTACCTTTCAAAAACACAATAAAAAATAAAACATTACATTATCACTCTTTTAATCAACTTGTTTAAAAGTTTTTAAAAAACTTATCCATGTTATTTGATAAAAATGTTTGGGCATTTCAATGAAACATATGCATTGCATCTTTTTTCTGTTATCATGATTAATTACAGTACAGAAGTTTCAGAGTATAATTACTATGAACATACATTAGCACAATATCCTCGAAGTATTGTAAACAAGGTGAGTCTTTCTCCAGCGTATATATTAACAGGTGGTTCTGATGGAATGGTAATTGGGGTCAGTCCAGCAGGTAGGTCCCAGTCTATTCTAACATCTGTAATGGCTGGTTGCATGGCATATTTCAACAATGAAATCACCTGTTAAATTAAAGAAATCACTTGTTTAATTAAAGAAATCACCTGTTTAATTAAAGAAATCACCTGTTAAATTAAAGAAATCACTTGTTTAATTAAAGAAATCACCTGTTAAGTTAAAGAAATCACTTGTTTAATTAAAGAAATCATCTGTTAAATTAAAGAAATCACCTGTTAAATTAAAGAAATCACTTGTTTAATTAAAGAAATCACCTGTTGATTTCAGGATTATTACCTGATAAAGAAACTACCTGCTAATGCCTACATTTAATTAAAGAAATCACCTGTTAAATTAAAGAAATCACTTGTTTAATTAAAGAAATCACCTGTTAAATTAAAGAAATCACCTGTTAAATTAAAGAAATCACTTGTTTAATTAAAGAAATCACCTGTTAAATTAAAGAAATCACTTGTTTAATTAAAGAAATCACCTGTTAAATTAAAGAAATCACTTGTTTAATTAAAGAAATCACCTGTTAAATTAAAGAAATCACTTGTTTAATTAAAGAAATCACCTGTTAAATTAAAGAAATCACTTGTTTAATTAAAGAAATCACCTGTTAAATTAAAGAAATCACTTGTTTAATTAAAGAAATCACCTGTTGATTTCAAGATTATTCCCTGATAAAGAAACTACCTGCTCATTCCGACATTTAATTAAAGAAATCATCTGTTAATTTAAAGAAAAGCATTATACAACTACCAGCATCAATTTAATAAGAAGTTTGACCAAGCAATTAGTATAATAGCCCGGGCTAAATATTTAACTGCTTAAACCCGGAAAGCTCCATTTCATTTCTCTAGAAAACTTTACCTTAGAATGGAGTCTTTCCTCCTCCACTACCAATTCAGACTTGCCACCTCCATTATTGGCAATACCTTTAACTAGTGCAGTTGAGGCACCAACACCAATACCAAGAGCAAAAACCCTGTATTTTATAAAGTAAAATGAAAAAGTTAGCTTTTCTTCATTTTTGTTCCTTTTTTGGTTTGTGATTAAGCATAATTTGTACCATTTTTTCACTGCAATACCATAATTTAGTAAAGTCTTCCTGGATTTGCTACCAGTATTTAACATTTTTTCCATATGACTTCAACTGCTAAATACATTTTGTATATTTGCATATAAATCTATGTATAGGTTAGAGTGCATATTGGGTGTTCTTCGTAAATAAGAAAGCTAAAAAGGAGCGGAGCTTGCGAAGCGACTGTAGCTTTCTTATTTACGAAGAACATCCAATATGCACTCTAACCGGCTTAGTGCTCCGCCCATTTTTTTCCGCCCAACACACTGCGTGACGTCACACGATAGCCTAAATGTGTATAACCACATTTGGAAGAGGTAGCGGTACACATTTTCGGGTCACGTGTTTTGCATAGCGTATTCTCGCATTCTGTCTAGGTAAATCAGACAATATCACGGTGCATATCCATATCGGTACCCTCTTTGCGAAATATACTCAAACGGTACCCTCTTTGAACATACACAGGTCATTCTCCAGCGATGGATTACAATGCAGTAAAAATTCATTGTAATAAGGAAAGGAGGTATGACACGTAGAAAAGATGTATACCACGGAACACTTGAATGTTTTATTTCGGCTGATTTGTCATGTGCCCGATTTTCATGTACTGCAACTTCACAATAAGCTACAAAAAGTCGACATGTCTTGCCTCGCCCTTCACCTCGACATATTTTTCGGGCCTAAATGAACCTGTAGCTTGATTATATATGCATCATACATATTAATTATGTTCATATACATATCATCTTCAGACAAATGGCAGTATATTGTCAAAAATAAATGTAAAATCAATAAAAACACCCTACTTTCGGTTTTGCATCGGCACGGGCTGTTATATTTACATAATACTTTGTTGGAATAAGTGACTTTTTTATTTGGAAATTATAAAATGATACTGGTTCCGTAAGTAATAAAACATTGTTACTGTTATTTTGCCTGTTTTCATTTCAATGAACCTCTTTTTTTTTAAATTCTATGCCGTAGTGACGATATACATGTGCGTGTTCGGAAAAAAACATCATGCATAAATATTGATTAGTAGGAGTAAACTTCAAGATCTCTGCACATGCGTATATTTCACTTTAGCGCTCTTCGAAACTTAGCTCCGCCCACTTGCGTTTTATAATATAAAACGTCCAGTTTATATAAAATCTGTTCTATTAAGATTTGAAACCTGAAAATTTGAAAAATCCTCGTCGGTGATTGGCTTAAAAAAATTGGCGAGCACTAAGTAAGTATTTTACACATTTTGATATAGCTGAAGGCAAACTAAAAATGTTCATATAACAATAGGTGTGCCTGCCTGAATGCTTAAAATGTTAACATTTATCTTGCTGAATTTCTTAAACTTGTCCAGGTTTTTAGAACTGTTCATTACTATTTATGTGGATATCAATAGGCAAATTTAAAGTTGCTTATTTTGTCTTGTTACACTAAAATATAATTGGTCTGAGTGGTGTTTATGGGCTATTTATTTCATGCTTTCCAGTGTTTTATTATAATATATCAGATGATTATATTCTGATAAACCACTAGTGAAATTTATAAAATATAATTTTCACTGTAGCTGGACTATATCAGAATGCGGATGAAAAAACAATCATAACTAAATGGATTAACAGGCAGAAATAGATGCCGTCATGCGTTAATTTTGCTTCTTTAGGAAAAGAAAGTCGATGTCACCGTACATCATGTTAAAAATGTAACAAAATTAGAGAAATTTAACAGAACTATATTTCAAAATTAATGATGTGACGTCATGATGTGATGACGTCACAAAGGAGAATGCGCGACGTTACGCAGCAAAATCAGTAAAAAAATACTTAAAATCACTTAAAAAGCATGAAATAAAAAGAAAATTTATTTGTTTTACATATAAGATTGAAATATATTTCATTCGTGAACACCAGCTATTATATTTTCACTCGTGGCTAGGCCACTCGTGAAAATATTGCATCTGGTGTTCACTCAGTGAAATTATATTTCAATCTTACATGCAAAACAAACAAATATCCTCTATTTAACACTGGTTTGTCGTTTTGCCACGAAAAAATTAACCACTCAGGCCTATGGCTTTAGTGCTCAATTCCTACGCATCAAAACTCCAAACCAGTGTTAAATAGCAGATAAACACCACTGAGACCGATTTTATTTCTCAGGTTTATACCTGGTATCAGAGTTATGTGTATGTGTTTTCACAAGCTGTGTTACACATCTTATATCATCCACTTCTCCATCTGTTAACACAAACACCTGAGTGAACAAAACACAATTCTTACATTCAAATATTAACAATGGACAATGAATGTGTAAAGATAATAAATACAACACAGTTTAATCCAAAATCCATAGTTTTAGAGCTAATGAAATTTTCAAAACCTTTGTTGTTTATTTTTTTATGATACTTTTCAGTACTGTACATAATACATTAAAGAAAATTCAATCTACATAATTATATCTATGTTTAAATGAGGACTTTAAGTATATTGATAAAATGGTGCATGTAAAATCAAAAAGATATTTACCCTGCGAGGATGTCCCTCTATGGGGTCCATATTAAAGACATGGGTCAAAGGTTTCTGTATCTCTGTGCCATACATATCAGCCTCCATGGTTTTCTGTAGTGTAAAAGCTTCATCTAAACTTTCACTACTGTATTTCTTACTTTCCCTGTTACAAAAATAGAAGTCTTTGTAAACATCTTAAAGTATATCCAACCTATGTTAAAGACCATCTCCATGAGAAAACCAGTGAAAGAAAAACTGTCAGTAGTATCCATTATTTAACTATTTACTTTTTGATAAATAATATAGAAATTTGCCAGTTGTAAATTTTGGTTGTCTAGGAAGAAATGTTAATGCTATAAAAAATAGTAATATGTAGTCAAATATAATTTGGAATGCTTTATAATTATTTTTCTTACATCAGTCATGTGCATCAGGACATATTATTTTAAAAGTCTCTAGTTCATGCAGATTTAATTGACCAGAGTATAAAAACATGATTGAACAGGTTTTATCAGCTTCACCTCCTTAATAAGATCATAATTCTACTGAGATCACTTCTTTCTAAAAACTCCAAGGCCAGTCTACGTAGACACGTTTGAATATATGGTCCAACAAAGCTGCAGAATACATGCTTTTTAACAATCTGTTCAGACAAAATGAAATCTGGTTTCCCTCTATGAGCATTAGTTGTCTAAATGTGAATTCAAGATGCCTTGTATGAAGCATGATTGTCCAGGCCAACATGATAAAAGTACAGTTTTAATCCAAATACTTTCAAATAAGAGAGTACCCTAAAATTGGACTGTGCTTTTTCATAAGAAAAGTAAAAGCACATAGGATACTACACAAGTTTGAAGAAATGTGATCAATAGTTTGAGAAATATTGATGAGAAAAAATATTGATATTCTTATTTCAATGAATTTAAAGAAATACAACTTACGTAGGGAAAAGGGAGTTAAAAAATGAACCGAAACTAACAATATTAAAGTAACAATCAGCTGGTAAACTCATCAGGAAAAGTAGCAGAGCCTCTCTAGCACTCTGTATCTTATCTCCCTGCATGCTTCCTGAAAAATAGAAAAATATACCATATCTGAAATTTTATTGCCTATATTATAGTTTATCAGTAAATTGATATTTAAGTTTTACATGAAACATATCTTAAAATTTAACTAGACCTACCACTGAAGGTGATTAATACCCCAACCAGCAAATTTGAGTTTTTTTGAAAAATACGTGGTCTGAAGAAAAATTTGAACTCAACCTACGGTAAAAGAAGTATCAGCTGTGTACCAAGGTTTTTTTCAATTATTTAACCAACAGGGGTCTTTATATTAGCTTGCTAAACACTAAATTTGATTACAATATCTCATTCCTAACTTTAGTTATTGTCCAGAAACCATTTTTCTATTATTAGTAATGGTGACCTTGACCCCAGGGGGCTAAATGCAATACCAACCAGGGTCTCCACATAATGTTGCTATACACCAAGTTTTATTACAATACCTCGTTCCAAACTCTCTTGTCCTGAAACCATGATGTGGTCAGGATTTGACCTTGTGGATTCGAAGTGTGTTGATTGACCAAAATCTTGGTACCTCTAGCCAAGTAAGCAGTTAGCTGTACATGTTAATACTAAAACTAACAAATTAAACACCTACCTGATCGATCAATAACAAATATGTATTCCCCATTGGTTGCCATTGAAACTTCTTTCAGATCTGGATGGAAGCTTATCATCAACATGTCTTCCTGTACGAAATTTTCTGCACGGAAATGGGGCGGAATTCAAAGGCAGATTCCGCCCAGAAATTTAAATTCTCCCCCGAATATATAAGTGTTAAACCATTTGCTTTTGGCACGGATTCCGGCCGGATTCCAGGCGGAAATGGAACGGATTCTGGGCGGAATTGGGACGAAATATGCAAATGAGTTGGGGCGGAATTTTGAAGCGGAATCTTGGGGCGGAATTTTGAAGCGGAATCTTGGGGCGGAACCTTGGGGCGGAATTTCGGAGCGGAATTGTCAAACAAGATTCTGGGCGGAATTCTGGGACAGAATTCAGGGGGCGGAATTTTATGAGTTTAACATGATCACATATTTTGGGATAAAATTATCAATAATGTATCACATTAAATTTTCTTTCACAAAATTTAATAAAAAAAATATCATATCCTTTAGTCCAAATACAGAATAGAATACCCTACATTCACTATAACACAAACAGTTTTTTATGCCACCGCAGCATCTGCGATGCGGTGGCATATAGCGATTCACCTGTGTGTGTGTTTGTTTGTGTGTGTGTGTGTTATATAGATTATATAGTGAACTTAAAAAATCTTCTTGTGAAAAACCACTTGTCCAATTTCAACCAAACTTGGCAGGATTGATCCTTGGGTGAAGGGCTTCCAAAGTTGTTCAAAGAATTTCATTCCATGCAGAAATCTGGTTGCCATGGCAACCAATAGGAATTATAAGAATAAATTTAAAAAATCTTCTTGTAAAGACCCAAAAGGCCTAGAGCTTAGATATTTTGCATAAGGCATTGTCTGGTAGACCTCTACCAAGATTGTTCAAATTATAACCCTGGGGTCAAAATCGGCCCCGCCCTGGGGGTCATTGATTTTCACTATATGTACAAATAGTAAAAACTTAAAATAACTTCTTGTAAAGACCCAAAAGGCCTAGAGCTTAGATATTTTGTATAAGGCATTGTCTGGTAGACCTCTACCAAGATTATTCAAATTATAACCCTGGGGTCAAAATCGGCCCCGCCCCGAGGGTCATTGATTTTCACTATATGTACATATAGTAAAAACTTAAAATAACTTCTTGTAAAGACCCAAAAGGCCTAGAGCTTAGATATTTTGTATAAGGCATTCTCTGGTAGACCTCTACCAAGATTATTCAAATTATAACCCTGGGGTCAAAATCGGCCCCGCCCCGGGGGTCATTGATTTTCACTATATGTACATATAGTAAAAACTTAAAATAACTTCTTGTAAAGACCCAAAAGGCCTAGAGCTTAGATATTTTGCATAAGGCATTGTCTGATAGACCCTTACCAAGATTGTTCAAATTATAGCCCTGGAGTCAAAATCGGCCCCGCCCCGGGGGTCATTGATTTTCACTATATGTACATACCGGTATAGTAAAAACTTAAAATACCTTCTTGTAAAGACCCAAAAGGCCTAGAGCTTAGATATTTTGCATAAGGCATTGTCTGGTAGACCTCTACTCAGATTGTTCAAATTATAGCCCTGGGGTCAAAATCGTCCCTGCCCTGGGGGTCATTGGTTTTCCTTATATGTATATAGTAAAAACTTTATAGTAAAAAAATTTCTTCTAGCAAATGCTAGAGGTTAGATATTTTGCATGAAACATTGTGAAGTGAACTTCTAGCAAGATTGTTCAAATTATAGCCCTGGGGTCAAAATTGCCCCTGCCCCGGGGTCATTGATTTTCAATATATACATATAGTAAAAAGTAAAAAAATCTTATTGTCTTAAGGTACAAGGCTTAGAGCTTGAATATTTGTTAAATGATATCATCTATAGGTACTCTACCAAAGTTGTTCAAATTTTGCGTCTTGTGTCAAAATTAGCCCCGCCCCATGGGCCATAGGTTTTCCTTATGTGTATATAGTAAAAACTTAAAAAATCATCTTCTCTAAATTTACAAAGGCTAGAGTTAAGATATTTGGCATGAAACATTATGTAGTGAACCTCTAGCAAGATTGTACACATTATAGCCCAGGGGTCAAAATTGGCCCCACCCCCAGGAGTCATTGATTTTCACTATGTACATATAGTAAAAAAAAAAAATATTTTTGTCTGAAGGTACAAGGCATAGAGCTTTGATGTTTGCTCTATAATATATTCTATGGGTTCTCTACTAAAGTTGTTTTAATTATGCCCCTAGTGTTAAAATTGGCCCTGCCCAGGGGCAGTGATTCTCATTATGTTCACATAGTAAAAACAGAAAATAAAACAAATCTTTTCTGAATAGGAGAAAGCTACAGCTTAGATATTTGACTTGAAATGTTGTTTGGTGGACCTGTATCAAGATTGTTTTGAATTAAACCCTTGGGTCCAAAATTTTGCCTTGCCCAAGGGGACAGTGACCTACTTTCTTGTCCTTTGATGTACAGCAATGAAATTTTGACCATGTGCACAGTTTTAGTTGTAAAATTGAACTTTGATATCAGGTGAACTAGATTTTGATGATGTGACCTTCTTTCTTGTCCTTTGATGTACAGCTATGAAATTTGAACCATGTGTACAGATTAAGATGTTAAGTGAACTTTGATTTCAGCTGACCTAGATTTTGACAAAGTGTCTTACTATGTTGTCCTTTGATGTAGTCATGAAATTTAGGCTGTGTGAAATATGACCTTCACCACCAAATTCACTAGACTCAAGTGCATTGATATATTCCTACTCTGATCTTTTATTGAGTTTAAACAACAGATTTAACCACTAATCTGATAATAAGAATTAGATAGGTCAGGGATCTATGCATTATGACAATCTTCAAAATTGTATAGAAACAAAGAAAATCTGTTCCGACACTACTATTTAGTGTTGTATTAATGCGGTGGCATAGCATTTTTCTCAAATGCAATCTTGTTTTTTCTAGCTGCAGGTTTTGGAATCTTAAAATCCAACACTTTGTTTTTTTTGTGCAATTATTTTGCTAGAAGAGTTTCAATCATAAATTTGTTTCAAATGTTTCTGATTATTTAAATTACTATTTCTTTAATCCATGTCTGTTTTAAGTCCACTGCCTGTGTTTCCTAGAACTTCTTGTGGTTGTGCTCACCTTTAATAATAAAATTCATAATTAATTAAACAAATATTTTGTAATGAATTGAGCCGTGTCATGACAAAACCAACATAATGGGTTTGCTACCAGCATGGATCCAGACCAGCCTGCGCATCCGCGCGGTCTCATCAGGACCCATGCTGTTCGCTTACAAACCCTATTACAAGTAGAGAAACTGATAGCGAACACCATGGATCCTGATCAGACTGCGCTGAGGAGCAGGCTGGTCTGGATCCATGCTGGTCGCAAACCCATTATGTTGGTTTTGTCATGACAGGGCTCAATTATGTTTTATTGCATAATTACATGCAGTTATATTTTATATTTTTTAATAATATCAAATTTTATGTTGCAACAGTATTAAATATTAACTATGCTTATAAAGCATATTCAAAAATAGTAATTTAGCAACACAGAATCAGTTATTCAAGTGTACAAGTGTTTAAGAATTGCTCTGTATAAGAATTAACTGACTGCTTTATTTGTGACACTTTTTATTACTGGTTATGTATTTTTCAAGGAAAGATGTTGAATAGTTAAGTATAGAGATTTAAAAATATACCTTTTCAGGATTAATACTGCACATCATTATTAAACACCTGGCATCTCACAGTCAGCACTTAAGTCCCTGAGCAGCCTGCAAATTATGAGTGTAAAATGTAATTTTAGATTGTTCCATAGGAAAGACAACAAAACATGTAAAATAATAAATGATTATGATGACCCTGTTCAACTGTACAAAACTACTGATTGTACCATTTAGTCCTATTTAATCAAATTTATTTAAATTGTTTAATTTCTAGGAAATGAAAAAGATATACTTACATGCTATTTATACAATATAGATCTACACAATGATTATATTAACAAAAAAATCATTGAATAATTTTTAATTTGCAAATAATACATGTATTAAAGATTTAAAACAATTATCAGAAAAAAAACAAATGCATGAAGTTGAAAATACTAAAACAACAATGACCTCTCAGTGTTACAAATTTTAGTTGGCTACTTAGTATTGATAGTTTTCATATAAAATTAATGTAACTAAAAGTTAATAATTACCTGATTATGTTATACATCTCCTTGTACCAATTACTTTAACACTTTGAGATCTTAAACACAAACTTTACTCCAAAATTGTTAAAATATCAAAGTATATCCACTGTAATTTGCACTCTTTTTGCTGACCCAGATATCTTAGAATTCAAAATTCACAACAGTTTACTGTATAATGGACCGGTCCATCATTATGTAAAACAGGGTTAATTTACTC